TAGAATTAGATGGGATTTGCTCTTAACGAAATTCTCTCTTAGAAGCTATTGTCACCCCTAAAGATAATTTGAATAATTAGAATCATAGAAATGTAGGACTGAAAGGAACTTTGTGAAGTCATCAAGTCCAGTCCAACTATGCTGAGGCAGGACCAAACAAACCTAGGCCAGCTGTGACCAGTGTTTGTCCATCTTGTTCTTAAAAACCTCCAGTGTTGGGGATTCCACAGCCTCACTTAGAAGCCTATTCCAAAGCTTAACTACGCTTATAGTTAGAAGGTTTTTCCCAGTATCTAACCTAAATCTCCCTTGCTACAGATTTAAGCCCGTTCCTTCTTGTCCGAATTATCAGTTAACACATTTCACCTTCAGAGTTCAGTACAAACGTTAGCTCTTGGAGCAAGATTGTGAGTTGTTACTGTTACCGCCATTTTATAGTGGAGAAACTGAGGCAGAGATATGAAACTACTTATCTGAGACCATAGAGAGAGTCCATAAAGCTAAGGTAAGAACTCAGGAGTTACTGTCTCCCAGTAGCTGCTTAGATCACACCTCTCTCAAGCAGTCTGGGCCATTATGCAGTTCAGCAGCATTGACAGAATCAGCATCTCACCGGACTGACACTTAAAGTGGGCAGGTAAAAAGAGGTTGATGTAGTAGATGCATGGCTGCTATTTATCATGGCAAAAGGCACATTTGAGGTGTCTAGGTGAGGTAAGAGAATACCATATATATTTGCTATATATTTCTTTTTAAATTTTGTTCTGTACCTAAAATGCTAACCAGTCATTATGGATTGTCTGTTTGGTTAGGTGTTTCTGTGAGTTACATCACTACTCAGCTGTGTATATATTTTAGTTTTAGTTTCAAAAGATGCAGTGAAACCTGTTTTTAAATTACCACTAAAGGATTTGACCAAAAATTGGTTGCTTCATATATGTAATCTTTTAATAAAGGTGGAGCTTGGTTCTGCTTAATAAATCTGGAAGGTCTCTTAAAGGTGGCCTGCAAGGGAAGAAAAACCTGGTTTTGTGCCTTATAATGCATCTTTATGATGTATAAAAAAGGCCTGAAAGGCATACGGTTTTCCTCTTAGCCTTTTTTTCCCCTGCTAATTGCTGTCTAGACTGAAAGACTGATGACTGGGGAACCCAGTGAAATGACAATACCACAGGAGTCGAGCGTGCAAGTCAGCCGGATGAGATGGGATGGGACTTTTAGTCAAACTATTTTTAAAATAAAATTATAAAAAATGTGGGGAGAGGGTATGTATTTTTATTAACATCTGTTTTACTTCAATGACTGACTAACATTATCGATAAAGTGTGTTTCCTAGAGATTTACTCTCCACAGCCCATCCCTTCAACAAAAGGATTGGCTCTCTCAATAACATGACCTGCCAAAACGTCTTCCAGCAAAGCCAGAGAAGAGCAGTCTTGACATAATTGATATTTGTGAGGTAACAAGCCAAAAAATAAACCTGGAAAAAAACAAAAACCCCTCTGACCTTCTTTTTGCATCATAAAGAAGTGAAAAAGGGCACAGCCCTGTTTTTAAAAAAAATCCTTCATAGTTCATGTCATAAATATAAAGGGAAGGGTAAACACCTTTAAATCCCTCCTGGCCAGAGAAAAAACCCTTTTACCTGTAAAGGATTAAGAAGCTAGGATGACCTCGCTGGCACCTGACCAAAATGACCATTGGGGAGACAAGATACTTTCAAAGCTGGAGGCGGGGGGGACAAAGGGTTCTCTCTGTCTGTGTTGCTTTTGCCAGGACCAGAGCAGGAATGCAGGTTAGAACTCCTGTAAAGGGCTAATAAGCAATCTAGTTAGATATGCGTTCGATTCTGTTTTGTTTAAATGGCTGATAAAATAAGTTGTGCTGAATGGAATGTATATTCCTGTTTTTGTGTCTTTTTGTATCTTAAGGTTTTGCCTAGAGGGATTCTCTATGTTTTGAATCTGATTACCCTGTAAGGTATTTACCATCCTGATTTTACAGAGGTGATTCTCTTACCTTTTGTTTAATTAAAATTCTTCTTTTAAGAATCTGATTGCTTTTTCATTGTTCTTAAGATCCAAGGGTTTGGGTCTGTGTTCACCGATGCAAATTGGTGAGGATTTTTGTCAAGCCTTCCCCAGGAAAGGGGGTGTAGGGTTTAGGAGGATTTTTTTTTGGGGGGGGACGTTTCCAAGCGGGCTCTTTCCCTGTTATATATCTGTTAGACGCTTGGTGGTGGCAGCAATAAAGTCCAAGGGCAAAAGGTAAAATAGTTGTACCTTGCGGAAGTTTTAACTTAAGCTGGTAAAAATAAGCTTAGGGGGTTTTTCATGCAGGTCCCCACATCTGTACCCTAGAGTTCAGAGTGGGGAAGGAACCTTAAAGAAAGTTGCATAAATACGGATGGTTAATGGAATAGCTCACCTTCCCACATTAAGCATCTTCCACCAAAATAACAAGGATGCCACAGATACAAAGATGAGGTGGATTCTGTCATGGAGAATGTTTTACACTTTGAAATGTTTAGTGGTGGCAAATGCTTGGCAGATGTGTCTCTAACTCCGTGACCTCACACTTAGTAAATGATTCTTATTTTCTGTTTGAAATGTAAAATTAGATAAACCAGTTCTGCCTTATTTTGAAAGGACAATAGATATGGAGTAAAAGGCTGTGTTTATATAATCTAGAGCTGAAACAATTCAATAGATTGTGAATTGTTTGGGAAAGGGACCTTGTTGTCCTCTGTCTTGTACAGAGCTGAGCATACTTTCTTCTATTTATTAAGATCTAGAACTGTTATTCTGTTGTATTAACATCTAAATGACTGCATGCTCATTTCTATCCATTCTGGGATGTGATAGAAATCAACAGCTCATTGAAAAGAGTGGTGCCTTCTAGTTTGAAAATAAATGTGTTGACTTCTGGAGCTTGCGTTGATGTTACCTCCAGATCTTCAGGCTAACATCAAAAAAGTTATTGCATGGACAGCACTGTATCTAGCTAATGTTATCTCAGTTGCAGGGAACAAAGCCCAGTAGTTTTAAGTGGTGTCTCCTGAGAAATTGAGAGAGGTTGAGAGATCTGGAAATCTCACCAGGGACACAAAGAAAGAAATGCTGGTAAAGAGAGATCAGTGAGACTTTCAGCTCACTAAGCATGTTGATCTTTTAAATTGCAAATAATCATTCTAATAACTCACTCTTGAATAAGGTCCCTTCAAGATAAGACTCATTGGTTCTGTGGAGCTGGTATTTAAAGTATGTCCATCTGCATCTAAACGAGTAGCTCCAAGACAATCCGATTATGCAGTAGTTAGTTTGGTGAGAATATCGCCTAAGTGGAATGGAAACTTCATTTTGAGTCTAATATTAGACCTTGCTTTGGAAAATTCCTTTTAAATGATTACAAGCTGGGAATAGCAAAAGAATTTAACTTTCGACAGACAGCATTCACCAAGAATTGTTTTTAACTGCTTATGTTGGGTCCCTGGGAAAGCAGATGTGAAAATCTTACCGAAGTGAATTGACTTGACCTGATGCAGTGTTTATATCAGTCGTTGATAAGTTTTCCTCTCTGGTCTAATTTGTTCAAGATATTTTCATTCTTTGAGCATGAGTGAGCCTGGGTTGGAATAGTTTGAATGCCTGTTAGTCTAATAATCCAAATCCTTATGCATCCAGACATTATTGCCTATAAAGGGGTCTGAGCAAAGGAAACAAAAGTTGGACTATTTTGGTTATGTTCCATGGATCGCAGAGTGGGTGGCTTAGATGCCAGGCTGGAGACCAACAAAGGGGATGCAACATAATATTGCCCAGTTCGTAATAGACCATATACATTGAGACCACTATACCTGTGCTTCAGCGTGTAGCTCTGGTCTGGTTGGTTGGTTGTGTCTTAGCAAACTCTTTGATCCCAGAGTCGGAGGCATTTTTCTACATAGCTTTGCCGTTAAGTGAGTTTCAGTGATGGCTATAGAAATCGGCTATCAAATGTGTTTCTTTCATTCTGTGTCCATGGCATTATCATGTTCTATGAAACAAAACGATAAAGTAGGTGGCAGAGAAGATTTTAAGAGTTGTTAGTGCACTGTGAAATAAGCACAGCCACTGATGACATCGGAGGGAGCTTCATTGCTACTAGCATGTCACGTTTCAGCATTAGCCTCTTTGCTGTAATTTGACGTGCTTTGACGTCAACCTGAATTCTTTTTAATTTCAAAATACTCTGTTTTCTGAAAAAACTCCCTTTAAATAGTATGCCTTACATTTAAAAAAAAAATTATAATGTTATGGGCTTGTCTACTTGCCTGCCAATCTCTTGTTTGGTGGTGGGGGGAGAAGAAGGCAGAGACAGACCACTGCCACCAAACACAATCGGACCTACCTCTCCTCCCCCACATCTGCCCTCTGCACACACCTGCCTGCTGCTACTTCAGTTTCAGCTTTGTTGCTGATGTTAGAGTGTGAGGAAATGCATGTATGGAAGCTCTGTGCAAAGCAGTGGAGGGGTGTGATGTCCTGGTGCTGGTGTACAAGACAGGAAGTGAAGCTGACCATCAACAAAACAGTGAAATGGACTTAACACCAAGTGCTGACAAATGCACAGGGTAAACAAATTGGGAGGATTCAGAGTAGCAGCCCTATTAGTCTGTATCTGCAAAAAGAAAAGGAGTACTTGTGGCACCTCAGAGACTAACAAATTTATTTGAGCATAAGCTTTTTTTTTTGCGAAACTGGGAGGAATGTTCAATATGTCTAACTGTTCAGCTCTGGTAATCTTAGAGGCAATTTGTGACAGCAACAGGAACGGCATTTTCATATGGAAATCTGATGCATTTTTTCTTCTACCTGACAGTATCCCTTTAAGCTATGGTTGCTCTGTTCTAGAATGTGTGAAACACGGTTTCTTATGAGTGTCTATTTTTATCCTTTGCTCATAATTCCATTTCTAATCTCTGAGTCTAAAGTCATAATTGTTAATCTGTCTCCCTGCAGGCAAATCTCATCTGGCAATAGTACAGCGAGTCAACAATGAAGGGGAAGGGGACCCTTTTTATGAAGTCCTGGGAATTGTCACGTTAGAAGATGTGATTGAAGAAATCATCAAGTCTGAGATTCTAGATGAAACTGATTTGTACAGTGAGTAGAAGTATTTTGTGCTTTTTCTTTAAACATCAAAGAGAATTCTTCCAATCTCTGTTCTCGGTCTAGCTAATTTGTTTTGGGAGAGGTGATGACATATTACTTAAGATCTAGAAACTCAAATTTCCACACAAATCCACATGCTGGCTGACGACATTTTCATTTCTGCAATATGGCCCCCTCTGTGCATGACCCTCGAGCTGAGACAGGACAGTTTTTTTTGTGGAACCCTTCAATCCCAATGGCTTATGTGAGCAAAACTTCAGTTTTCTTCAGTTATCATTTCCCCACCTCAAACAATCCTATTCTGTGTCCTTATTGCGCCTGTCGAGATTTCCACGCCTCTCCTTGATTAATATCCACGTCACCCTTGGGAACTCTCGGTACTACTCCCATTCTTTCGTAGAGGAAAGTTGGATGATTTCTCTTTAGAGTTGGTCACTGCCAGTGAATTGGTAGGGACACAGTAGTGATGAGGTACTTTCCTTCAGAGTACTGTGATTACTCAGCCCGTAATTATTTCTCCCTGCACCACTTAATACAATTCCTTTCCCTCCTTAATGTTAATATATTTTGAGACGAAGGAAGGTGTCGTGGTTAGAGCCCTAGACTGAGACCCCGGAAATCTGGGGTCCCTTCGCAGCTCCATCAGACTTCCTGTCTCACTGTGGGCCAGTTACCTAATCTCTCCCTCTGCCCATTTCCCACATGTACAACTGGGTTACAAATGCAGTACTTCTTTTCTCCCGTCCTTTATCTGTCTTAACTGTTCTTTAAGTTGGTTGAGGGTAGGCACTGTCTCTTACTGTGTGTTTGTGTAGGGCTTAGCACATTGGGGCCTATAAGCATGATCACAATACAAATAATCATTTGAAATACCCCTATGCTATTCAGATATCCTTTGGTTCACTGTTCTTTTCCCCTTCTGTAAATATTAAGTGAATCTTTCCTAGGTCCATCTCTTCAGCTTCCTAATAGTATGTTATTCTCTGAACCATTTTCAGTTTGTCAGTATCATATCAGTATTCAGGTGCCCAGAAGTTCCTGTATGGCAGTCCTTTAAGACATAATATTCTTACCTTAAGTGTGTTTTATAAGGTGGCAATATGGCCTAGTGGATAGAGCTCTGGACTGGGACTCAGGAGACCTGGGTTCTATTCCTGGCTCTTGCCTCCTGGGTGGCCTTCTGCAAGTCATGCATGCTCCCTGCTTTGTGCCTCGGTTTCTTCATCCTGTAAAATGGGGATATTATTACTGATCTCCTTTGTAAAGTGCTTTGAGACCTACTGATGAAAAGCACCAATATAAGAGCGGTGTTGTTATCATACGTCTAGAATTCACCATCTGTGTGATGGAACTCTCATTACTATCAACTCTTCTAATTGTCCATTCAATAGGATTGTGGCTTAATGCTTTACAGTAGGATCTTATGATTTCATTTACACTGCAAAAACATCCTCCCTTTGGATGTATTATACCTGCCTCTTTGATGATAGTGGGTTGCTCCCAGAGGTGGGAGGTACTGTTTATGCTTTTTGGTATAGCTTTTTTGCTTTTTTATAAAGAGAGATAATTTGGATTATTCTATATTTTATACCGAAAATAAAAAGGGGTTGACTGTATTAATGCTATGAAAGGGGCCAGAAAATTAGGCTCTGTATTTCATGGTCTTTGTAGGCTGATAAATTAGATCTGGTGAACATAAGTCCATGTGAAATTTTTCTTCCTTGGAAAGTTTAACTATTGTACATTTATGCAGTATAATACAAATAGTAGAGAACTCTCCTGGCCTCCTGGAAGATGCTGTGGCAATCCAAAACCATCTGCTGTAAATTAATACAAAGCATCCAGGGGACCTGTTGGTTCATTATGAAGCACTAGAATCCATTCCATCAGTATTTTGTATTTATATTATTTAGTATTCACTCCAAGTATTCACTCCAAATCAGTGTAGTGATGGAAAGTACAAGTGGTTTGTGCATGGTATATGAGCTGTGAGTAGGAGGTAAAGCATATAAATTTTGTGGGGTTTGACGTTAATGTTGTCTTAACTGCAGGTTTCCTTAATGTTTAGTGATTATGTTGTAACGGGGTGGAAATTAACTCTTGTGCAACCTGAACTCTAGTCAAGCTTCTTGTATGGGAAACATCACTCTGTGTGTGTAGTTTTGTAGGCAAGAGTCATGGCACTACCTACAATTAAGGTTACCTGACGCTTCCCATCTTCCATCTGGTTTCAGTTAGTTAAAACTGGGCTGAAATTTTCCTTGCTGGGTCTCTGCGTCAGGCTCACATTTTTTCAGTCAGCATGGCTTAGCTATTTCCAAGAACCAGGCCAAGCAAAAATTCATTTTGCCCATATTAAAAATTTGTAGCAACTTCTTGTTTGAAACATTCTAGTGCCCCCATGCTTTGGGACAGGGACATGAAATTTGCCAGTAGGGGTGGGCTTTGTGTCAAGGATGAGTTTTTTGCCATCTCCATGAAAATCTGCCCAAATTTGGCTAAGTTGTAAGCCTTTGAAAAATTGCAGTTTGCACATGCTCAGTAGACTCCCAAAGATTCTATCTGCTTTGGTCATGCTTCAGCCTGGGGCATATGCAGTTCTGGGCTGCTGCCACTGCGCTGTACCAGGTCAGGGCACCTGAACTGGGAGCAGGGAGTCTGTCTCTGCTGTGCTCTCAGTGAGGCCTGGTAGCGTGGAGGAGCCTGTGCAGTGTTGAGAAGGAAACATCTGATTCAAATGCTCAAGGAACAAGAGGTAGACTCGGGGGAGGAATGTAGAATGGAAAAAGGAGCCACTGGGGGAGAAGGAACTGATAGCAGGTCTACACTACAGCTGGGATCGACGCTCTGAGACTGATCCACCGGCGGTTGATTTAGAGAGTCTAGTGAACACCTACCAAATTGACAGCAGATGGCTCTCCAGTCAACCCCTGTACTCTACCCCCAATGAGAAGAGTAAGGTAAGTCGATGGGAGAGGTTCTCCCGTCGACCCCCTGTGGTGTAGACCTTGCGGTAACTTGACCTAAGGTACATCGACTCTAGCTATGTTATTCACGTAGCTGGAGTTGCGTAGCATAGGTCGACTTACTGCGGTAGTGTAGACATAGCCTGAGACTGGGGTGTAGACATAGCCAGGAGGTTAAGGGGAAAGGTAGAGTGCCTCTGGGAGCATGTGGGGGAAGGACAAGAAATGACTGGGCAAGGGGACAGGAGCTGGGAGGAGATGAGGTGGGGGTTCTTGGAACCAGTAGGTTGGCAGAGATTGGGACTGAGAACCAGTGGGGTTGGGGGGAGAGGAAGATCTGGCGAGGAGCCGGGGTATAGGGGGAGAACTGGCATTGGCTGGGCAAAGAGTGGGATAAGGAGACAGGAGAGGGAGATTGGGTCTGAGAGCAGTTGGGACAAGCAGTGTGAGAGGGGGTTAAGACTGGAGGCCAGGGCAAGGGGAAGCGACAAATCAGATAAGGAGCTTGGAAGGGAAGAACCTGAGGAGACTGGGACTGAGATGAGAAGCCCAAGAATGGATGTGATTGTGTAACGAAAGACTGTACCATACTACATATGGACAAGGAGGCCAAATGAAAGTTGCACAGATAGAAAATACTAGAATTAAGACTAACTTTTGAGTGCTTGACTTCACAACCTTTTAACATAGCGTGTGTGAAATATTTTATAATACATAGAAAATAGATATAATGATCTGTACCGTCAGGGGGTAGCATACCATGGTGGTTCTTTAATGCTTATCAGTTACATTAAATAGCTCAGTCTGCAGTTAAATAACCTGAGTATTTGCAAGGTATTCCTATAATGTGCATAGGAGAACGAAAGTGACTGCTACAGATACTGAAATGATTTCTCTGTTTATCATTAGTAAAACTGTTGAGAACAAGACCTTCCACTAGGTCTAACAATACAGGTCCTCCAGTCCAAATTCCACAGGCAGATTCCTTCATCCCACTGAAATTGGTGAGATTCTGGGCTGCTCCCTGAGACCACACCCTGTGGAGCAAATGCAAGATGAGTTCTGTAGTACAATTAAAGTTTTATCAGTCATATAATCGGCTTTGAGTATATTGTAGGGAGGTCTCTCTGTCCTGTTTGTTATTCTAGATGGCTGTTGCAGTTTGGATTGTCTTAGGGCTTGTCTACACTTACCAGGGGATTGACGCACGGCGATTGATGCATCAACGGTCGATTTATTGGGTCTGGTGAAGACCCACTAAATCAACCACAGATTGCTCTCCCATCAACTCCTGTACTCCACCAGATCGAGAAGAGTAAGGGGAGTCGACGGGAGAGCGTCTCCCGTCGACGTCGCATAGTGTGGACCCCGCGGTAAGTAGATCTAAGCTACATTGACTTGAATTATGCTATTTGCGTAACTCAAATTGCATAGCTTAGATCAACTTTTCCCTGTAGTGTAGACAAGGCCTCAGATAACTACATTCAGTCAAGCTCATATTGGACCCTGTTCTAACAGACTTTGCTTCCTTCCTTTTCCCACCCTCCCTTCCCCAGCTGATAACAAGACAAAAAAGAAAGTAGCACATCGGGACAGGAAGCAGGACTTCTCTGCCTTCAAACAGACAGACAGTGAGATGAAGGTTAAAATATCACCACAACTCCTCCTGGCAATGCACCGTTTCCTGGCAACAGGCAAGTACGGCTTACTGCAGCTTGCAATCACACAAGTGCCTGAGAGCTAGATTGTCAGTGGAGGCTGGCGAGGCCAGTGGGCAGTGCTGGCAGGGAGGGAGGCTGGACAATGGGGTGACAAATAATGCCACTTTTGTGTATTCTGTGTTTTCTTTTTAAATTCTCTCCTCTCCTGTGTTCAGTGTCGGCATGAACCCTCTGAGACATTTACCAGGGGTGGACCAGTAACTTTAAATTGGTCTGAAAGGTAAGGTTGAATGCAAGTGCCACACTGCATGTGTAGAGTCAGTCAGGTTAACGACTAGCAAGTACACCCCACTAGGGAGAGTTCAGGGAACAAACTAATGAGGACTCTGTGCCAACTGGCCAGTTCACTGGACTGCTGACTTTTCCCCTTTGGTGGCTCATCTGGGAAGAGATCCTGGACTTCAGGGGGAAAGTGTAACCTGTTCCATGAGGCTTTGAATGAAAATGAAAATCTTTCTTTGCAAATTAAATGCAAATTGAACAGATTGTGGAATTGTATTTTTAAAATGGATTTCTTGTTGGCCTCTGGGGCATGAGTTGGTGGCTTCAGTCCAGTTTTTAGTGGGCAGATGTCTGCATTCCCAAATCACCATGATGGTTGGTCCCCCTCTGGGCAGTCTTTGCAGAGAGCCCATGGATTGCATAGGCTACTGCGACTGGATTTTCTTTTCATCATAGAGTTGGTCTCTCTGCATCAGAGATAAGAGCCATTAGCAGCAGCGTGTGTGAAGCTTGACCTGCTATTGCTCATGCTGTACCTGTTTGGTGTGTAGGCAGTGGCTTTCCATGTACAGGCCTTTCAGTCAGCACCTTTCATCATTGCTGCTTCCAGTGAAAGAAAACCGTTCAACAGGAAGACGCGGCTTTAATAACAAATAGCACTTCGTTCATTTATGTGCACGAAGTTCGATGGAAGTTCCCAAACACCGTCTTGACAGATTTTTATTGACTTAATTTGGTGGTGCTGTTTCTGTGCTTGTCTAGGAAATGTAAAATGATTTTATAATTTAAATCTAAGTCTGGCTGTGGAGGCATTGCTATGTAAGTCAGATATTACAGTTTGGTTGGACTGTTCTAAATGCAGACCAGGATCTGCAGACAGTCCTGTGTCTCCAAAGTCCTGATCTGAAACCAGCGTTAGCAAGTATTGGCAATTTGCATGTCTACTTCTTGAGTGTCCCTGGCCTAATCCATCCCACCAAAAACTGGGCTTTTTTCACTTCAAATAGCTCTCCTTGGGAAGGTTGAACAATAAGAGCAAGAGATTATAAGGTGTGTTCTGTGTGCTATGCATTAATCCCACTGGTGTGAATTTGCCTGCACTCTGCCTCTCACTTTGAGCCGCTGTCCCCATGTGGGCTGTGGCACCTTTCCTTTATTTCTTCTTTGGGTTTACGCAGTGGGCCTATCTATAGCCATTTTCTAGGTCTATGGACAACCAGGGACCTTTAGAAACAAATGCAATAAATAATGAATCCACGTTAACATCATTTCAAAACCAAACTGAAAGGTCTTCGGGACCCTAATTGTAAACCCCTTCCCTTCACAGTCCATGAGCAAGCCCGAACAACTATGGCTTTCTGAGCTCTCAGCTGGGCAGATTCCTCTTCCTCTTCTCTTCATGTTGGGGAGATCATTCTCAGTTATCTGAAATGTATGTTATTAACTCAAGGAGGGCAAATTCATTTGTAATATCTGGGAACTGCAGTAGGTCTTGTTTTCCCGTGAAACTCTTCCACAGGGTATGTATACACAGGGATAAAACTGGCTGGCCCAGGTCAGCTGACTCGGGCTCAGGCTTCAGGCTGGAAAATTGCTGTGTAGATGTTTGGGCTCGGGCTGAGGGTGGTCCATTCCAGAGCCCAAGTGTCCACACAGCAATTTTTAGCCCCAAAGCCTGCACCCGAGTCAGCTGACCTGGGTCAGGTGCAGTCGTGCCATGGGTCCTTATCCTTGTGCAGACGTACCCTAAGAGGCTCAAAAGACAGGAAAACTCCAATTCTGTAACATATGCCTCTGCTTCCATGTTTTTTAACAACTAATGCCAATTCATCCCCATGCATGTAAGGTGTAATGCCAAGTTATATCTTGTGTTTCTAGAAGTAGAAGCATTTGGCCCATCCCAGATGTCAGAGAAGATCCTCCTAAGGCTGCTAAAACATCCCCATGTCATCCAGGAGCTGAAATACGATGAGAAGAACAAGAAAGCCCCAGAATACTACCTCTACCAGAGAAACAAGCCTGTCGACTACTTTGTTCTCATTTTACAGGTCAGGCACATGACTAGATATATGTGTATCATGATATCTGTCTCCTTACTCCTTCCCCTCCGTATCTAAACTTAAATTGTTATGTTAGTCTACTTCTTAAGGTATGGAGCCAGGCCACCAGGCCTCTCTTCCTGACACTCTTGCTAAGTTGCTAACCTTGAGCAACTCATTCAACTGCTCCCAGACTCAATTTTAACCTTCTGTACGGTGTGGATAATAGGCCCCTACTTCTCAAAAAGGATCATCTGTTGAAAATTGCAACAGAAATGCAGCCAGTATTATTTGGGCAGGCAGCGAAGAATTTTGTGTCCAGTTGAAAAAGTTGGGAAAACATTGGTAGGCAAAATGTAATGACTGGAATTGACATTTGGCCAGGACACTCTAGCGAATGCATTTTTTTCCTTGCAAAAAGTGCCGTGGGATGTTTGATAGCTGATCAAAAACTCATTTTTTATGTTTGAAAGTCTGCACCTCCAGAATCACAGCACAATCGTTCAGTATTAATTTAGGGAAGAGCGCCACCTACTGAACTGCCAACTTCGCTTTCTCCAGCCCTGTGGGTTTTCCTGGAGGTCCTCCATCCAAGCAGTAACCCTGGCCTGACCCTGCTTAATTTGTGTGATCTAATGAGATTACAGGCCCAGGCGATGAGGAAATACTCTTTTGTCTTCGAGATTAGGAAGTATATTTTCTCATTAATTTCTTCAGGAGATGAACACTGAACTTTACTCCTCAGGAGATAAGGCGCATAGGAATACTTGTCTACACTGAGATTGAAACCCAGTAGCACCTTTCTAGCAAGAATGGTATTTAAACATGGATCTCGCTGGAAAGGTGCTAACTTCTCAAATCTCAGAGTAGACTGGGTTCAGTTGTGTTTACAAAATAGCTTTCAAAACAACATTATAGTACTATAACTTATGCTGTAAACCAGGGTTGTAGACTCTCTTATGTGGCATTAAACATAAAGATGTCTTTATTCTTCCATGATCTTAGTAATAAAGAATGAAAGGAGCACCAAAAATGTAGTGCTGTGTATCCAGTTGAGCTTTGTTAATATGGATTGCTTTCCATGAGGAATTATCAGCTCTGTGAACTCCCACACTTCTGCAGTGGATCACTGCAGCTTGAAATACACTGTAGGCAAGATAATAGATCAAGTGCTGTAGGATGCAGTATTGCATGGGCATAATAAAGAGCACACATTAAGACAAACAAACCATCTCGTAATAAGCAAGCATATGATTAGTAAAAACTAACATGCTATTTTTAGAAGAAATTTTTCTACATGCCTGTGTCACATCTGCAAGTGAGTGTATAAAAAGACATGCTGTAAAAGTGGTACTAAGGTTTGGTTCTACCATAACAAGTATCAGCATATAATAGGTACTTCCCTTTGGTTGGCAATATGGTCAGTCTCTGATCTGGATGTCCCAAGGTATATTAATACTCTTTCACATAGGAAATATACAAGAAAACAAATGTACAGTTCTGTAAATTAATTTTAATCTAATCTCAAATAGTCTAATTTACTGATTTCTGAACTGTAATTTATTTCCACTGGATAGGCTCATCTCTTCTACAGCAATACATTATGTAGCAATTTGTAACATTTTTTTTTTCTTCAAAATCCATGTTGTGTCATTAAACAATGTTGGGAAAAATGCAAAGACAGACCTGTAAAGTGTGGCAGGACACTTCTAGTATCATGCATGTGAAATTTTGCTGCCTGATTCTCAGCTATCAAGCTGCTCAGCATGCCACATGCTCGTCGTGTGGCCCAGATTTGGCAAGGGTGACATTTTTGGAGTGTGTAACTAATGAAATAACTAGGTCGCAGAATTGAGGGCCCATTTTTACAGCTAACTGCCAGCTCAAACTTTCCAACCATTAATTTCAAAGGGACTCCCAAGTGAGGATTCCACCTGCATACATCTAATTTCAGGGGTGGAGTCTGTGACTGTGTGATGAATAATTGCCAGTAATTACTCAATTGATTCTACTAGGCTGAGCATTGTATTTTTAACAAATTATTAACAGTATGTTTTTGAAATAATTATAAAGATCAAACGTACTTCTGACCTGTTTATGCTGTTGGATTCCTTTTTGCGCTACTCTCATTTTGGACAGTTAGACTAGATAATTTGATTGCACTTGACTGTGCCAGCACACCGCTGCATAGTTTGGATTGAAAATACTGCTGGGCAAGGCTGATTATTTTTAAATGGTTTTTAATTGAACTGAAAAAAACACTTGGAAACATAGATATTGGTCTTAGGTTTAGTGTAAACTTGTTTTTACAAAACCTAAATTTTAGCTTCAGTTTGACCTGACTATCGGTTCAGTGGCGTATTTATCCATTACATGTGGGAGGACCCAGTCTGTTCCTTCTCTCCAGCCCAGCAGAGACTGAGAACACTGCAAGTAATTAATTAACTTCTGTTTACCCTTCCTTCCTCCTGCAAAATATAGTTTCAGCTTGATATGGAATCAGATTTCTACTTCCCTTGTCCCAAAATCCGCTAGTGGTGTCACTGCACTGGGAGTGGCGTTGAAAATAGGGTCCCACTAGGTAGTTACTGAAGCTTCTAATTTTATACTTTGAATGTTAAAAATGCATTTCTAGAATAGATACTTCTGTTCTTTTTCTGTCTTAGACTTATGGATATAGAGTGGTTATGTGCTGTTCAATAACTTCTGTGTTCCACACCAGAAGCGGCTGCATTTCTGTGGTGGTATACTTGTGTATAGTTTGTAAAGTGTTTTGGGATCCTTTGATAAGATCCTGTATAAATGTTAGTATCAAATAGTAAGGGATGTGGAATTTGTAAAACCGTTGGAAACCAACTAACCCAAAAGAACCTTGAGAAAGAAGACTCAGGACTCTTTCAGGAATTGTGGATTTCTTTTCTGTGTGGGAAAGCATACAACCTTAACTTCAGCCTCCCAAAATATGTTGAGCTTACTCTCATTCCCAGTTGAGATTTCCTGTGTTTGTGTTCGGAAGGGCCTTGTGTGAATTTTGGGCAATTACCTGAAATGAGTAGATCTGGCTTGATGGACAAACTGTGTGTAAGTATGGGCTTTCTCAGACTTGGAGACCACTCCTTCCCTTCAGTTCGAAGTAAATGGCTTAATGGGGCACAAACATTCTTTGGAAGTGGAAAAAAGTAGTACCATTGAGAAGCTACTGTATTTCTTTGCAGTGATGAGCCTGTCCACCTTGCTGAGTTAAATTAGCTGGAGCAGATATGAGGCTGGAAAGTTTTGTGGGGCAATGGGACTGATTTGAGGTGGAAAGTTCTACCCTTGTCTGTGCATTTTTACGGACTTCAGCAGAAGGCAGGAATTAACCCTAAATTGCCACTTCAGGCAAGGCTGCAGCTTTCAGGGTGCCAGCCTGTTATAAGGTCTCTGGATCTTTGGGATGCTTGAGGCCCCTTTTAATTATGGTTCTCTCGTTTTCCTCAACAGGGGAAAGTGGAAGTGGAGGCTGGGAAAGAGGGAATGAAGTTTGAAGCTGGTGCTTTTTCCTATTATGGGGTGATGGCCCTCACAGCATCGCCAGGTATGTTCTCTTACCTTCTGCTTTTGAAATTCTTTCATGCCCAAGCATGCCTCTCACTGTTAATGTGGATGGAGGGAGCTGTGTAGGAGAGACCCCTGTGGTGTTTGTTGCGGCTGGCATCCACAATACATCCTGCCAATGTAACTAGCTGGCTGGTGTTTCACACCTGGGAGAGATTGATCATGGTTGTGGTATTAACTCATGAAATATGACCAGTTGTCACAAGTTTGCCAGATTCCAGGCTGTGAGCAGACAAGAAGTCTGCTAGTTAGTGATCTGTTTTTCTGTTTGAATACAGGGACAGTTGGGTTTGGGGTTTTTTATTTGTTTTTAGTAGCAGCACAATAGGGGCTGAAGGAACAGGATAAGTAATACTAAGTACTAGAAAGACATATGGTGCTGTCAAATGAAAATGATACATGTCAGGAAAGAATAACGATATATTTTAATAATCGTCTACATGGCGAGTTACTGTGCAGCAAGCCCAGGTGCAAATCTACAGCACACCAGTTTGCTGCGCAGTAACATCCCATGTGGATGCTGCTACAGCGTACTGAAAGCCCCAGAGTATAGCAGTGTCCACGTCGGGCATTACTGCGTGGCAAGCTGGTGCACTGTAGATTGGCATCCTGCTTTGCGGGGGCAGTAACTTGTCATGTAGACAAGTCTGAAGTTTGTGAAACAAGCCTGAGATTCTGAGAATTATCAGTTATACTGGAATGAGGAAGAGAGATTTTCCCATCATGCAAAGATGCTGAAAATCAGCCCGTACAACCAACTTGCACAGAAATGTATCTTCTTTAAAATATGTGTAAGTAAAAATGTGGGGAACCACAATGAGAAAAGCAAGTTGGGACCCAGGCGAACCCTCATTACAAAAACCATAATCTTGTGAGCCAGGTACCCTGTCAAGCCACCTCCATCACATAAGTATGTATTAGATATTCACTGTGGGCTAACCCTGATGACAAGAAGTAAAGGTAACACTTCAATTGTCTCTATAAGTGTGCTGTTCTCTCTGTACCATCTTGGGCTGTGATTCTGTCAAATCTCACAAGCTAAACTAGGTTGGGCTGGCTCAGTGTCTAATGGGAAACCTCCCAGAAATCTCAAGTGCTGCAGAAAATGATGTTAGTGATTCAGTGGGTAGTACTTGTCCATCTTAGACAGTATTGAGCCACTGCCTCCACCATGGTGCCAGGGGGCATATTTTATTGCTGGAAATGCTGCCTTTCAGCTAGAGACAAAAAAAACAACATTCTGATCAGCTGAAGTAATTAAAAATCCCACAACACTTTTCACAAATATTGGTGGTTTAGTCTAGCAGTTACATTCTGCCAACCTAAAATTCCTTGAATGGCTTCAAATGAACAAGTTTTTCTTCACTCACACAGAAATTTGTTTCTGGTGTTACTGGAGTAGAATACTTTCCATGTTCCACCCAAGAAATAGCTGCAATTCAAAAGTGGGTTAATGATTTCAGTATATATTGTTAAATGGCTTTGAGAGCCTTTAGGATGAAAAGTACTATATATAAATAAGATATTATCATTTCCTTGTAAGAGCAGATGATTAGAGTAAATTCCAAAGACAAAAGCAATTCTTTGGGACATATGAGATGTAAGCAGTAATCTATGTTGCCATTTAGCTGACATTTTTCTGAATATATGTTATCAATTTCACATTCAAAGTAGAGAGCAATTGTTCCTTGATTATGATTGTGCTGAAGTTAAATAGATCTTACTGCTACCTTGTAGGTTTTTGAACAGCAGATTTGCTAAATGACAGATCCTTGGAAGAGTTTTGTCTGTGCTCTAGAAACAGTCGTGTGTGTGTGTGTGTGTTACACCCTCCCTGTTCCCTCCATTTTGAGGTTCAGCTCTTACAATACAGCTGGGTCTGGGGGTATGTTAGAGCATCATCTCTCACCTTACATGTACCAACACTTCACTGGAAAATCTTTCACAGCTACTCCTTTGGCTACTGTTATTCAGTGTGAACTTCCTAGTGTCCTTTTTGTGCTGACATGCTCTGGGTTCTTCCTTCCTTCATTCCAGTTTTTGCACTCAGACAACACCTGTCTTTTTAGGGATCCCACCACTCCACCATAGATTGTGTCATTGCATCTTTCCCAGGGTGGGCCCTCCTACTCTGAAATCCATGTTGGTCTTCCTCTCACCAAACTCCAAGTGCATACATCTGGGGTTTGTTTTAAATTGACTGCTAGTGGCTCTGTATTTATTACTTTTTCTACAGTCCCTTTTCCAGTAGCAAAGCCGTTAGTTTGTGGATGCATTTTTCTATATGTTAAGAGAGTACATTTTATTTTGAGATTTTATGTCCAGGATGAACTCTTATAAATAAAGTGGCTGTAATTTCTCCATGTAGGTCTGGAAGCTGTTCCCCTTCAGCACTCTGGGTAATAGCCAGAGAGAGGCACTGCAGAGCAAGAGTAGGTGCTCTTACCTGATTCTTTAAAACTCCCAATCCCTAACAGCCCTCATGCCTCTGTTTCCCCATCCGGAAAGTGAAGACAATACAAGGTTGCTGAGGCTTAAATATCTGTACAGTCCAGTTTGAACTGTAGATGGGAAGTGCTACCTAAGTGCAAATTATCACTATTAAAGTTACTATAAAATCATGACTGGCGTGGAGAAAGTAAATGAGGAAGTGTTATTTACTCCTTATAACACAAGAACTAGCGGTCACCAAATGAAATTAATAGGCAGCAGGTTTAAAACAAATAAAAGGAAGTATTTCTTCACACAATGCACAGTCAGTCTGTGGAACTCTTTGCTAGAGGATGTTGTGAAGTCCAAGACTGTAATGGGGTTCAAAAAAGAACTAGATGCGTTCATGGAGGATAGGTCCATCAGTGGCTATTAGCCAGAATGGGCAGTGATGCAAAACCATGCTCTGTTGTGTTCCTAACCTCCCTTGCCAGGAGCTGGGAATGGGTGACAGGGGATGGATTACTTGATGATTACCTGTTCTGTTCATTCCCTCTGAAGGATCTGGCATTGGCCACTGTCGGAAGACAGGATACTGGGCTAGGTGGACTATTGGTCTCACCCAGTATGGCTGCTCTTATGTTCTTCACCCTAAAATGGCTAAACTTGGAGAATTGCGGGCTCTTTTCGATGGTCTGATAAAAAGAATTTGAAGAATAGTGAAATCTATCCTGTTTTTGTTTCTCTATTTAGTTCCCCCGTTGGGCCTTCCCCCAAGATGACTTGCCGGGTTTTCATTTTTATTCTTCATCTCTTGGGCTAAAGTGGTTGCTGCTTTTGCATTGTGTACTGTTTTTAAATGAATGGGTCTTGAAATGTAAATAGAGATCTCTGTACTGAATGCCAGTTAGGATTACCAAGTGCAATGTATGTAGTTCTGCTGATTTATTTTTTTTAATTATTTCTACAAATTGCCTAATCAGCTTTTTCCCCCCTTTTCTTTTCTGCAATTGATTTGTGCTTCTGGTTTCTTCAAAGAGTGTGAATTGACTCTTTCCCTGGCAATGTGGATAGCTGTCCCCTTCCCAGTCATGATCTCACCCTTTTTCTCTCCTTCTTCTAGTTCCCTTGTCCCTGTCTCGTACCTTTGTTGTCAGCAGAACAGAATTATTAGCAGCAGGTTCTCCAGGTAAATCCGCATGCTTCTTTTCCATCATTCTTGTGCCTGAACTGACACAATAAAAAGCCCATTGCAGTCTGTATTTGTCTGACCCCTTTACTTGTTAGAGAGAAGTTCAGCCAAGAGATATGCCTAACAGGTAAGTATCCTAAACTTTCTTTTATGACTAATTACTAATTGGTAGCAAACTTACAGACACATCAAAATGAAATAAAAGTAATAACTGTTTAAAGAGAACATATTTGGTAATGAAAAGCTTCTTGCCTCTCTTACTCCTATACTGATACAGTATCAGAGTGATTTTTTTTTTAAAGATAATATTCCTGGTTCCTAGCCTGGGTTCATGTAAAAATATACAAAATGTCTCAATTCTGCAGAAGATGGAGTTAAAATGGAGGAAAGCATACTGCTGAACTGCCAAAAAAAAAAAAAATTTAACTGAGAAAGAGGTACCTTATCTCCAAACAAAATTTAAATTATATATTGTTTATACACAGAATATCCTGTTTCACATGCTCAAAAACTCTGTCGTCTTCAAAATTAATTTATTTCACAGATTTCTATGGAGACTTATAAATAAAGCCAAATTTGATAGTTCTGCCCATAGTGGTATTTGAGTTATTCAGACACGTAATGTGTGAATGAGATATGTGGGGACTGGGGTTTTTGTTTATTTTAAGACCATGTTACTCAGATGACTGAACTTGAGCTGATTTTGCTTAAACTTCCCCAAAACGTTTCACTTCAGGGCTGAGACCAAGTATGGAATGTATCAGGCCAAAAAGACCTTGTTAGGGGCATTTGTGAATGATTGGAAACAGGGAGGAGAGGAATCCAGAATGGAAGATGGAAGCCAACCTTACCTATAGTGAGCACCGGGGGTGCCTTTCCTAGTTAGGAGATAAATGAAAATGCTACCCGAGGGAAATGGCAGAGTGTACTGGAATGACTGTTCCTCAACAGAGGCTGAGCCGTGCTGAAATTTTGTTTTCCATTGAAGTTACCATGTTCATGTTAATGCCACTGTCTCTCTGTACCTCTAACCAGAACATGAACAGGACAATATGTGTGTGTGTGCTTAAAAAAACAAAACCTTCCCTTTTCCCCAAACTTTAATATACAAACCAAAAGGAGCTCTCATTCATTGGCCATTTCCTGAGCTTTTGGTGTTTATGCGGCATCTACTCCCTGGGTTTTTCCTCTCTCTTTTTAACTTTCTGCTGTATTTTACCCTCTGTCCTAAAATTAGTATTACGCACATTCCAAACAAACTACAGGTTATTGCCCTGCAGGGGATTTTTTTTTCATGCCCAGTTAAAGTTTCCAGTGGTTAAAATTGAAGGGGAAAAAGTTTAATCTTTCTTTAATTAAACTGTTTGATGGCTTTATTTTTTTTCTTGAAACTCTGCAGCTTTGATTATCTTTTTTGCTCAATTATTTTGCTGTGCCCAGATCATCTTTTTTTTATTTGTCCATTTAACAAATTAAATGTACCCCTCACACTTGCAAACTATTTCCAATATAAATGCCAGACATTTTTTCCTAGCTATTTCCAACTGAAAGAAATAAAATAATAATGGAAAATAATAATGCGGGGGGGGAGGGGATATACCACTTGAAATGAAATCATATGGTAACCCTGGTTGCAATGGCAACTGACAATGCAGCTCAATGTCAGTTGTGTTGCTGAACATGTGGTACAAGAGGTGACTATACCAGGATTCTCGGCTGTGGTATTGGGGCATTCTGAAAATGGTTCCATTGTGTTAATCCCAAATGTGTAACTCGCTGTTAGGCTTGTGGTTTGTGCCATTAGATCCTTTCTGTAGGAATTTGGGAAGAGCCAAGCTTTCAGTCCCTTGCTTTTTGTGCTCTCCTGCATGCTCGCTGTTCTTGTTCTGTCCTCTGCCTCCATCCGCTCCATGTTTTTAGCACATGCATTCTTTCCATTCACTTCCCCCCCTTCATTCACCATATTTTTCTAATAATTTCCTTACCCTTGATAAATGGGGATTTCAGGAGTCCATGTCAGATTCACACTGATGCTGAAGCTACTTCAGAAAAAAACTTTCTTCCAAGAACTAGTGATGTGCTATTCTTGCCACATAGATATGTATTTTGTGCATCAGTACGGCAAAGCAAAGGCTGACTGATTTGGTCTGTTGACAGAATGATGGCATATTGTCAGACTACTTTCTGTGAAGAAAGATGCCTAGTAGCATTGGGTTGCTTCTGCTAATAGCCTTTGTAGCCTTATAGTGGTTTTCCAAGACGACAAGGGAGTATCCGCTTGGAGGGCTGACAGAAATCTGACTGCTTGCCTCTGAGTCTAAGCTTGGCATTGCTCTTAGAGGCCAAAATGATTGCCCCGCTGATGGAAATTGCAGCACAGAATTGCCTGTTTCTCAAAACCTTTATTTTCTTCCTTGCTGTTTTGAAATGAAAGATGTAAAGTAGCCACTGGATTTTAAAAGCAATTGGCAAATGGAGGGTCACTTCAATTCCGCCATAAGCCAGGAGGAGTCTGAGATGCTAGGACTTTAGAAAGAGATAAAAGGTAAAAGAACGCAAGAAGTGAAGAACCACATTTCATTTTCCTACAAGGACGGCATGGTTTGCATATCCATGTGGCCAGTGCAGAGAGTGGGCTGTGCTGCCCATGACAAGGCAGATCTGTGTCCAGCCACCAAGGAGGGCTTTAAGAATTTTATGATTAAGTGAAGGAGACAATGCTCAGAGCACTGTGAAACCTTTTAAGATCAAAGCTCCTTTGTAGAAAGGCTCCAGCTGTCAAGATGCTGTTCTGCTGTTTGCTAAGTCCATGCAAAAAGGCTTTCACCATGACGTCTTAAAGTGAGACCTCTCACTTGATGCACTTGCTACCCAATGAGCTCTTCAGAACAAGCCAGGTTTAGCTTTAATTTGGAATAGGTGAACTTTGGGCCTGATAGGGACCAAAACCACACTGATCTTGCAGATAATCTGTATCTTGATCAACACACACAGTATTTGCATCCAGACAGGGAAGAGGACCTGCTAAAAGTCTTGGGAAGTTGCATTTTGGAATGCATTTCTGTGGGCACATCTTCACAGCAAAAAACCCCTCCGCAGCAAGTTTCAGAGCCTGGGTCAGCTGACTCGGGCTTGTGCTGCAAGGCTAAAAATTGCAATGTAGCTGTTTGGACCTGGCCTGTTTGGGCCTCCAAGACACAACTCCCTCACCAGGTTTCAGAGTGTGGGCTCCAGCCCGAACATCTACACTGCTATTTGTAGCCCTTCCATGTGAGCCCAAGTCAGTTGACCTGGCCTCTTAGACTCACTGCTGTGGGTCTCTTTTGCTGTGTCGTAGGGCCCCAGTCCGTGTAGGGCATTGAGTTGGTGGAAACTTAAGGAAGTGAACGTCATCTTACAAGGAAAGCAGCATTTTAGTATTTTCGTAGTTTAAAGCCAGAAGGGACCATTTGCAGTAGGTACATTATGGCCAGGGCACCCTTCTGGGATGGCTACAATGCTTTGGTCGGCCAGCAAAGCTCAGCACTTTAGAAAAAAGTGAGAGCAAGAAGCTGATCAGTCATGATTTTGCCATATCCAGAGGACAAGCACGCCAAGGCCTTTCCAGAATCTGGGTGTTTCTCCATAGGGAGTAGAGTAATTCGCTGGTCCCACTGTCTCATCTGGCTGACAGAGGTTCTGAACTGCATCCGCCCAAGTTATCCCTTCAAACCTTGAGCCCTGGCAGGTGTCAGGGAGAATGTTTCAGAAACAGATGAAATAAAGAGAGAGCCCTTTGGCCCATCAGAACCACATCCCTTAGCCTCTAAAGGTGGATGCACCCTACCTTGTGAAGCAACCAGATGTGATATAGTAGAGGACACCCCTGTGATGTAGGTGAAATGTACTAAATGGTGTAATGAAGTAAATATTGGTAAATGGCTCCAAGGTCCCTGGATGAAAGGCACTGTACAATGTGCGTGATCATAATCATTTACAGGTTATCCTAGCTATAGTGATGTGATGAGTTAGCTCAGGATTTAAAATGTCCTAACACTCATGGTAATTTTGCTGCTGAACTGTACTTTGTGTACTCAATGACTTAAGTACCTGTGCAGTCTTCCGTGCTATATCATGGGTTAACAAATGTCTTTGAGAACTAATTACTAACTGTTTCCTACTTTATTTAAAAAGTTTTTCTCTCTTCATTCCTATTCTTCAGCTGAAAACAAGTCACCCCCTCGTCCTTGTGGCTTGAATCATTCGGACTCTCTAAATCGAGGTGATCGCATTGAAGCAGTGACACCAACGTTGGGGAGCAGCAACAATCAGCTGAATGCATCTTTTCTTCAGGTGTACGTCCCAGACTATTCAGTGAAAGCACTCTCAGATATTCAGTTTGTCAAGGTAGGAAAAGAGTCAGCGGGGCTTCCCTCTCAGAAAAGCTGCACTACGTTGCAGAGCTGAGAGGCAAGGGGAGGGAGATGGCAGATCTGTTATGTCCTTGAGTTACAAAGAGCAACTAAGATTATGCAAGCTGTAGTCATTTTAAACTGCCTGCTTTCCCCTGTTTCTGCTGTTGGTTGACTTTCCTCCACTGCTCGGTTTGGACAGTGAAATCGGACTGGTCACTTCATTTTCTGGTTACCAGCACTTCAGAGGAAGCTTTAAAAAAAAAAATTTCCACTGGAGTTAGTCTTGAAAGCCCATCTATTGCTGTGAAGTTTTGTAAAGCCTTTTGAACAATCTGAATCCACTCTCATTAGTTGAAGAATGAAGAATTTGTTGGTGGCTGCAACTGATTTATTTTTCTAACTAAAAATTGGCCCAGAATGTAACTTGGAATCCAGCCTGCCTCCCAGCTTGTTCCCCTTCCTCAACTTTGGAGAAGTCTTGACTTCATCTCTGCATCTGGACTCCCCATGTCAGGCCCACCTCTCGTGCTAACTACCATTGGGCACATGCATATTGCTCTGTTCTTCAGCTCTCTGTGTCCCATCATGATAAGCAGGCAAGGTGCTGAAATATGTAGAGATCTTGTGGGATGAGCAGACCAATGTGATGGAACCAGAAATTCAAACCTAGCTGAAGTCCCCCGTTAGATTAGGGAAACTGGTATCCCACTGTCCCTGAATGATCGTGGTGCTTAATTTAAACAAAACCGTTTTCAATTGGTTACTTACATTCAGACTTTCTTTGTAAGCACACTGCTCGAACAGTGCACTTCAACTTGTTTTGCCCTTTGCCACAGTTAATCAGATACTCAAAACTCTTTAAATAAGGGAGAGAATAAAAAAAATCTTTTTAATGTTTGAGATGTAGATTATGTTCACAGGTATACTGGGAATAAGATTTAAGTGATGCTGTCTTAACACAGAGACACGTGCTCCGAGCAACTGATGCACTGAGTCTTACAGACTTACATTAATAAGGGTTTAAAACTGGCCAGGGTGAATTGAGAGTTCACTGTCAGTGTTACAGGCCCTTGTTATACACTGCAATGACCAATTAGTTTTTTGTATTGAGAGGCAACCCAAGTTTATGTTGCACCCGCATGCCTTGAAATTGCTCTGAGAAATACGATCCTAGTGAGGGAGAAGCAGAACTCCTTTCCCACCTCCTTCATTTTCCCAACCCACATGTCAGTCTGTTGTTGCTGCTCAGAAGTTGGGGTCATCTTACATGTACATCATTTCAGACAGCGATATGCTGATATAACTGGGAAGGTGAATCCAATGCAGTGCAAGGGGTTTGCTCACTGTTTTCAGGAAGGAGTTCCCCATTTCCCCATGTATAGCATGGCACTACTATCGGGTATAGTGTGAAATTAGTGGGTTTTCTTTCCTCTGGAGCGTCAGGTACCAGGAAAAGGTATTGAAATATTTGACTTATATGCTACTCCAGTATAGCAAACCCCAAAAAGCTGGCTAACCTAAGATACTTTTCAAATGGCTAATGCTTTGAGCAGGGGGTTGGACTAGACGACCTCCTGAGGTCCCTTCCAACCCTGATATTCTATGATCTATGTTGGCCCTATGTAGAGCTCAGATTTTACTCAGGCAAATACCCATTGGAATCAGAGCAAGGACTTCAGGATTTGGCCCACGCTGCATGTGAGACCATGAATTGCTGAACTGTGTCAGAATTGCAACACTTGTTTGACTCCCTTCCTCCAGAGGGCTCTAAGAATCTGATCCCAAGCGCATTGACTTCAATGGGCTTTGGATGAGGCCCTAAAAATTTGCATCACAGCATCAGTGGCTTTCAGCTAGGAGTAACTAGAAGTCTCTTGGGCCTCTTGAGAGTGAGACAAATCCATGCATCACAACACTGAGACAGGATAGAACCACGTGGCAACATTATCATCACAATGTTGTGTCACGTTGAACTGTCACCACATCATGATATTAAGTTAGGATTCTCTGTTATCCTACTAGGCTTGCAGAACTCAGCCTTGTCTTATAGAAAGTGGGACGATCCCGTGAAAAACAGGGCTGAAAGGAGAATTTGGCAAGAGGAGAGAGTTTATGTTCATAGTGTGTCCTGTAGGACACCAGCATTAGAAACCAAAGTGTTATTGTGTCTTTTTTGTGTGTGTGTTTCCCACCCCCACCCCCTTGTTTGCATGAAATAGATCTCAAGACAGCAGTACCAAAATGCCCTGATGGCATCCCGGATGGACAAGACACCTCAGTCCTCGGACAGTGAAAACACTAAAATCGAACTGACTCTTACGGAGCTACATGATGGTTTGCCGGATGAGACGGCAAACCTGCTGAATGAACAGAACTGCGTGACACACAACAAGTCCAATCACAGTATGCACAGCGAAGGCTCCATCTAGGAGCTAACAATCTGCATCCTTTCCCACCCATCACTTCAGCAGGACCAGTCCTTGCTCCTTCTTGACTGCAAACGCTCTTAGTATGTGCTTGCAATGCTGTGCTGCATCCAGTGTTCTGAGACCAAAGACTTAGCGCCCTTGCTGGGAACAGAAGAGGAAGAAACGAGAACACAGCAAGACAAAAACCAAACAAACCTTGGGCATGTTGAGTGCCCTTTGGAGAACGATGGAATTCTTCCTCGCAAAGTAGAATCGTGTTTATTTTTTCAGCCGTATCTTTGATCCTCATTGGTTTTCCCTCCTTCCTAGATGCGCGCAGAGAAGTTTTTAAAACTGCTCTGATTATTTTTTCAAGAGAGATCATGTTTTTAAAAAGAATTTTGCAGAGTTTTAAATTGTTGCTGTCCCTCCCCTTCCCCAAATAGGCTCTGTTGTGACTTTGTGAATCAGCTCCAGTGTCATAGACCTGTTTCCACCCCTCCTTTTGGTCCTGTCTGTTGCCCTGTTGTTAAAACAGCAACTGGTACCCATATGTATATGTGTCCTGAGAACAAAGAATGGATGAGATTTCAAGGAACTTGGGGCTTAGCAGTATGGAAGTTTGGGGGAATGGGCATTATTTTCTCCCCAGTTGAGTTTCAGGGAAGGGGTGGTTATTTTGGTTGCATGCGTTCATAATATCTGAAATTTCAGACGGTTCCTTGTAAAACAAACAAAAAGATTGTTACATTTACAGTTTTGTAACCTCCACAGATGTTGTGTGTTTTGAATATGAAGGTGGGTTTTTAATCAACATAACTGCAGTCTCATCAAATTACAGACTGGGATAAATTTCCCTAGTAGTGTACTGGGCAATTTTTGTCCCCCTGGGATTTGCATTAATGTTACTGGGAATCACATGGTCAATTTCCCTGCCTCCCCTGCTGTACTGAAAGCGTGCACCCCAAAATGTCCAATCTCAAATTCTAACATACTGAAGTAGTCTGAGTGCCCTTCTCTTTACCCAAAGCATATTTGCAGGGCATATTAAATAACTGGGAAAGAATTCAGGACGAACCATTCCCCCAGAATTGTTGTTTGTGTTAAGACAAAAGATGCTGCTACAACAATGTCCAAAGCAAATCCTCCAGGTGGATCCTGAACCTTTGCCATTGCAAGATGGATTTCATGGTGGAGTCAGGGCCTTTCTGATCTCCCCAAAGACTGACCAAGAACTTCCACTACAAGCTTGATCTGTGGAGGGAGTTTGAGGGAGCATATTGCACTTCAGGGATTGGAGAGGTTAGTCTCCAGGCAATTCCCCTATTTCTGAGGAGCTGCTGGATTTTCTTCCCTCTTCCCTTTTATCTGTTGTTCTTCTAGCTGTCCACAGTAGCGTCCTCCATGACTGCCACCAGTGCCACTCCACCTGCCCATCCCAGGCATCCCGGAGCCTGGCCTCAGAGTGGAGGGGAAGCACGTTCATTGGGAGTTCACTGTGTTGTATATTGTAAACCCCCAAAATGCAGAGTCTGTCAGTGAACAAATGCCGCATGGTGGTTTCTCTGTTGACTTTCAGTCTGCACTGCTCCAAGAACGTCCCGTGGCCTGATTGTCATGGACCATTTTCTTCCTTTATGCTCACGTAAGCTTTACCGGACTCTGAGCTTAAAAGCAAAGCCCAGTTGTGGAATCCTTGGTGTCAGAGCTGCCTCCCCCGTCCCTTAGTCCAGGTGGGAAGCGCCTTCTCTGTGGTTACGAGACAAGTTACGTCTGTGCAAACATGTTCTGAAAGGTGCAGTATTTCATGCAGCAACTCCTTGCGGGAAGCCAGAGTACGTTGCTGCTACATGGGAGTCTGTCCCATTTGCTTTAGGCCTTAAGAAGAATTTTGCTGTTTACTCTGAGAAGGGACCACAGACGGGTCCTCTGTGCCCCTCAAGGAGAGATGGCATGGGGAGAGGCAGTTCCTGGCCCCTTTCACAGAAGGCACTCCAGCCCTTTTGAGGGCAGTTAATAAAGTTCCCCATGGGGGCATGGTAGTTCCATGCATGGTATTTAACATGTGGAATCGTCAGACTGGGAAATTCGGCCCTGAAACTTAACTCCCTCATTTTTTAACCTTGTACTTTAAAAAAATGCTCCTGCTTTTTCCTTTTAAACTGTGTGCCTGTTGTTTTCTTCAGCATTTTCTGGCCCACCCGTTGGCTCTGGTACAGCGCTGCAAAAGAACTGCAGCCACCTGTGGACGTATGTGCCACACATGCCTCGGATGGAGCTGGCAACTCAAGGGTTATTTACAGCACCTAATTGTCTAGCCCCAGCAGCCCCCCATTTAGCTGTCTCAAGGAGGACTGCTAACGTTGCACCTTTTCTGCCAGAGCAGAGTGATGAAATGTTATGACATTAATCCCCATAAAGGGAGTGATCTGTTTCCTTGCTCTGGTCCCTTTTATTTAAGCTGCCTTTGTGCCCTAATGTTCCTACTTGTGAACCATTGTTGAAAGCGATGCAGAGCCTGGTAACCCTGGGACTCAGTATGCCTAGTCTCAGACCTGCTGGAAATTTTCTGCCGGGGAGATTTCTAATTTGACTGAATTTCTGGCTTTCATGCTGTGTTGTGGCTTTTTTGAAAATATTTGTTCTCCTGTAACACAAACCACAAAAGCCATGTCATCCCAAAGGCGAGTAACTCCTGTCTCTGTCCGTGGGTTGCCAGTCCAAACTCTCCAGGCTGGTTTTACATAACTTTCCTCATCACTCTTCCAAATTTGGTAAGAGAAGGTGAAGAAACTTTCATAAAGCTAGTTGGTCACAGGTGTGATTTTTATGGAAAATGGACATCCTCTCTAGGGGGACAGGAGCTCCCACGAATTGGCTTCAGGGACAAGGCATGCTGTCTTTCCATAGACTGGCTTCCTTGAAAAAATCCAGTCTCTCTGCTGTAAGAGTACATGGGGCTGTTGAAATGCGAAGCGGGACTCAGTAGAGATGGGCTTCCGAGGGAAATGGCTAGCAGGCCGTGTGGCAGGTACCAATGCAAGCAGAGGGAAGACAAGCCCAACTCAAGAACCAGTCTTAGTTTTTGAACCTGTGTTTGCAAAAATAGTGTTCCGTCTATTACTGCTGCAGTGGAAATCCCCAGGCTTCCAAGAGCTCCTCCTGTGCCGTAAGCTTCTACCCAGAGCAGACATAGCATTGTGTGAGTCTCCGCTTGGCTGTCCAAATTCAGGGGTGCTCAGGTTCTGGATGCTGCGGTACAGTGCCATGCACACCCAAAGCAGAGCTGTCAATCAGTCACTGTCATGAAACAAGGCACCAGCTGAAAGCTTTGGGAACCGTTGGACTTGATTTCAGTCCTTGTCCTTTTGCAAGGCTTTGATTTGTAGAAAGGATACGGTATCTTTCAACATTGGCTCCTGTGGCCTGTATTGTTTCCCTCTTCCACCTGCATCGAAGTGCAACACAAAGTGCAGAATCCAGCCTGTTAGCTGGTGGTCTCTGGGAGGCAGGAAGGCATGCCACCAGTTTCTTATGTCAATACAGTTTTTGCACAAAAGTTCTTTGAAGTGAGGTTTTCCACACTAATATCTTAAATGCACAACTGTGAATTAATTTTTACACTCCTGTTGGTTGAATCCTGTTTGAATGAAATGAACCTGAATCTGTTGTAACCATGATTTTTAATTCTGTGTATTGCCAAATCTTTGTAAAGAGGAAAGGAATATTCTTGTTTTATAATGACAATCTCTTGCTCCAAACAAGGCTGACTCTGGTGACATGGAGATCATATGAAGCACATAAGCTCTGAGTGTGGAGGTGGATTTAGCATATAACCTTTCCCTTCTGCAGACCCTAATCACAGGTGAGAGTTTGCAGGGCCCTCATCTGCTTCTTGTCTGTATCCCAAAATCCCTGCACAGTGGGAAGCCTTTCCCCAAGGATTACTTGGGACTGGGTTATAGCAGAGAATGAAGGCCAGGATTGAGGTACATTGGCAGAGGTGTGGGATAGCCCAGGATTGGCATAGCCAGTGCAGCCTGGGATTGATGTGCGTTGTCAAAACTGAGTGGGGGACCCAGGATTGCATAGCAGGGGGTGCTATAGATCAGGGTTGAGATGCATCAGTAAAGCTCGAAGGGGCAGGCTTATACAGTACTTCCCTGCCTTGGTTGTTGCTTTCATTCCCATACAATTCTCTCTCCAACTTCTCCCAGACCATTTTGTGTCCCTGTTCCTATACTGAGCTCCGTGTGGTGCCCTGTATTGTTTCCATATGTGGCAGTCAAAGTCTAACCTGGCGCCAGATTTAGCAGTGTGGTGGTAATGCCATACACACACACTTCCTCCTGACTCATATTCCTGTTAATGTTCCCTTGGCGTTCACCTCTCCTGGGGAGAAAAATGACTGGGGAGAAGGCATGTGGGAAGGGGAAAAAGTGAGTGGCACCTGGGAGACCCGCTAATACCTCCCCATTGCTGCTCCTAACCCCTCAATGGGCAGGCATTTAAACAGGCTGGGATTTGGCCTTGGAGGAGGTGATGCAGGGAGCTGCTGCTGTGTTCTGTTTGAAAGCAGCTCAAAAGAAAAAGGAGTGGCTGATTGGACAGCACCAGTGCTCTGCCCCCTTTGGGTGCAGTGGTGCTTCACGTGATCTCTGTGGAGCTCCGCCACAAGGGAGTTGTTTGTGAGTGGCAGAATGCAGCATTGTCTTTTCGCTAGCATCCCAGGTAAGGATGACAGAGGGGGTGACCAAGTTCTCCAGGACCTGCTGGGAAATGCATCTTCCTCGTGCTGATATAGAATAGACACACAGATCATTCCCATGTGATATACGTACCATATGTGATAGGATATTGAATACACAAATCATTGGTTTAAAACTAGTACCTGTGTACCAGTTGTTACGTTATCCAGTGTCTGGATTAGTTTAGAACTAGCAAACTTGGGGAGGGATGGGTGTTACCATTACAGTATCTTTGTTAACATTATAACTTGAGACTTTATACTGAAGGTGTCTGACTGGCATTAATATGTTGTATAGAAATGTGTATATTGTAGACTTTGATGCCATACCTGGGGTATGCTCAATAGCACTGTGTGAAACAGACCTTGGACTTGCTGTACCTCATGCTGCTTTGGCTTTGTGTGTGGTGTTCTTTTTTTAGGCTGTCCATCCTGTGGCTTCAAAAGGATCTAAAGAAGTACTTGACCCTTGGATTGAAAGAACAATAGGGGGTTGGCCTCTTCTGACAGGGAAATAATCATCTTGATGAGGGATGCCAAAGGCCAGGTGGTTTATTCTGGCTGAATTATTGCAGAAAGTAACCCTCATCCTGGTTCTGACTAGGGGGCAAAGCGAGCACGTGTGTGGGAGATCTTAAATGAGTAACTAGCGGAACTGCTATGCTGTGTTTCTGCACGCTAGTCCCAGTGCACCTCCCTTTGTGGTCTCTCTGGGGAGAGTTGCTTCTGAAGTGTTGCTACCGCAACGGCACGCTGACATGATGCGGCAGCTCGCATATAGCAAGTGTGGGCTGGCACTGAGGAGCCTAATAGCAAAACCTAGGCTTGCCTCATTTACTACCACCACCCCCAAATTATTATCAGGGTTTCGCCTCCTTGTCCTGCTCTACCCCTCTCCTCCAGAAGGCCACTCTCCATGTTCTGTTTAATCTCTCCACCTTTTGCTTCCCTACAGTGTTAGCTGCCCACACCATGAGGGCATGTTCAGCACGAGGCGCATTATGGCAATGGTACTTCCCTCTCCTAAATAGCACAGGTTAGATTTTCAGTTTGGATTTCATGTGTTTATTGCTTTTCTACATTAACACCTGGGAAACTGGGCTGGGGTG